GACCCCCTCCCATCAGAACAGAGTCTGGTTCAGCCGGCCACCTGCTCCTGCTGGGCTAGCGGCATACCGTAAAGCCTGTCTCAGCCACTGGGTCCAGCCTGCTCCTTCGACACATCTTTATCAAGCACCCACCACTCCCAGGCCTTTATGGGTGCTGGGCAGAATATGAGACACAGCCGGCATGACACCCCAGGCGAATTTTTGCTGGAGGGCAACCAGTGCTAGGAACAAGAAGAGCCGAGCGGGCACAGGGACGGGGCGTGCGAGGGCATGCCATTGCAGTAGGGCCACCGTGGCAGCCTGGCCGCAGACACTAAGGAGAGCAGCTCACAGACCACCTGGCCAGGGAGGCCAAATAAGAGGGCCTGTCCCAAAGCAGCTGAGAACAGTGCAGAGTCACAGGGGCAGGAGTAGCGTGAGTGAGTCCGGGGAGGGAGATGAGCTTGGACAAGAAGAGCAGTAGACCCTACGGGCTGGTGGCCTCTGGTGGGTGACTAAACGGATGGGAGCCCTGGAAGGCTTAAGCAGAGGAGGGCAGCTTGGCTCTACATCTTAAATGGGCTTTCTTGGCTGGCTGCTCTGTAGACCACAGATAGCTGGGGAAGGCCGGAAGCAGGGAGCAGTGACACAGCTGCTAAGGCAACACTTCAAGGGTGACAGGGCCCCTGTGTTGCTCTGAGAATGGATGTACCACGCTGGAGCTGGCCAGGGAGGCAATGTACCTCCTCATCGCCGCTCAGGGTATGAACCAGGCCCCCCAGACCCTGAGAACACTGCTGCTCTCTTCAGGTGGCCCCAAAAGTTTTGAGGCCCTGCTGCACCAGCAGGGACCTAGGACACACACATACCTTCCTTGGCACATGCCAGGCCACCAGATCCCCCGCCAATCACCAGAAGGTCAAAGTCTCGTTGCCCTGCTGGGGTGAAGGATGAGATGTGAGAAGCAAGAAATCAGCTACAAGTCTGGGGTACAGGTTCCAGAAAGGGGCCACATGACTTCCAAAAGTTAAGAATCTCTGCTTAAACATTTTATGTTTATATATAACGTGTTGTGTGTGCTGCCAGCTTCCGGACAGCCTGCCTGCACCTGCCCTTGTTTCCTTGCTCTCTATCTGATAATGAAGAATAACCATCGCAGCTGAAAAAAGAAAAAAAAATGTGGGCTCAAGGAAAATGTTATGTTTTCACTATTGGTTTAATTCTGTATCTGGCTGTGACACTAGTAGATTTTTTGAGTTCCAAGCAGTCCTGGTAGTTATATTCTCTTCCTCTGGGCAGGACAAGGGGCGCAGATGAACCTGTCCAAGCATGTTTAGCTGGTGTGAGCTGGCCCCAACGCATCGTGACCCCACATATAATGCAATGAAACGTGGCGTGGTCTCATGGCATCCCCGTGATCGGCTGCAGACAGGACCATTGTGTTTTCACTGACGGATTTTTGGAAGAGGTTGCCAGGTCTTTCTTCCTAGACTTAATCTGGAAGTTCTGCTGCAACCTGTTCAGCATCACAGCCCCATGCAAACCTCCACTGATAGACTGGTGGTGGCTGCACACAAGGTGCCCTGGCTGGGAATGGAACCTGGGTCTCTGCCCGAAAGGCAAGAATTCTACCGCTAAACCACCACTACCCCCTAATATTATATAGGACAAGGGGCCTGGCCCTTGGCCATCTAGGCTGTTAATGAATCACCCATTGGAGCAGGAGGTAGCATTTGATTCAACTATCTGCCCAAGTCCAGAGTAAAGACGTCCAGAGGGGTAGGGGAAGACACAGGCCCAAGTGAGCTCATCTGTACCCCTTGTCCTGCCCAGAGGAAAAGAACATAATTAGAGGACTGTTTGGAACTCAAAATCCAGCTTGTGTCACAGCCAGACATAGAATTAAACCAACAGTGAAAGCATACGTTTTCCTTGAGCCCATGCCCACATTTTTTTTTCCAAGCTGCAACGGTTACTATTCATTATCAGAGAGTAAGGAAACAAGGGCGGCTGCAGGCAGGCTGTCGGATATAGCAGGCCTTGCTATTCTGGTGGATTCAGTGGTCACCGAGAAGGCCACAATGCACAGGGAGACTGCAGGGGAGACTAGGGAGGGAGGGAGGGCATGAGCCTCACCTGTCCCTGGCCATGACTTTGAGGAACGGCACAAG